GCTGGAGCTGGGAGGTGCGGCGGGCGCGGGGCCTGGCGGCGCCGCTGCCCCGGGCCGCCCCCTTCGCGGCCGCGCGTTCCCTCATTGCCAGTGTTCATCGTTGCAGTAGGGCTGCCGGAGCGCTCCCGAACCTTTGCCGTGTTCTTWTTTTTGTGATACTTTAATTCGGGTTATTGCAATGGTTATTCAGTTATTTAAAACTAACTTGTTGCGTTATTTTATTATTAATAATCGTTCCATTACAGASGCTTACAATTATTGTATTAATTAGCTATTTTAACTCATTTCCGTAACAGTTGCTAACGTAATTCTAATTAGGTTCATATTTTCTGAAATTTTACACTGTTCATATAGCTATTTGTTAAAATTATTTTTAATCCTATGCTTATTATTAAAGCCTTTCTCATATAACTTTCTGTTAGTGTAATTTAAGTTTATATGGAGGTAGCAGGAGGCCATGGGTCACACCAAGGTGCCCAGTCCCACCTGGTCTAGTTCCCATCACTTTCAGGGAGACTTGAAAAAAGACCAAATTAGTGTTACCTAAGTCCAGGAAAAATACCCTAAAAGCAGCATGTGCTGAGACCATGGATCCTTATTCCTTTGGCCTTATCAATAATGTGGGGTTTGTGTTGGCTGGGGACCAGGGACTCTTTTTTTTTTTTTTTTTTTTTTGTTTAAAACTGAGCTAAATTGAGTCAGGTTTACAATAAGCCTCTTGAGCAATATGCTAAAAATAGGCTCCCTCCCTGGCATGGATAAATAATCAAACAAATGATTTCAGATGAAGCAACGCTGAAAGGAGTTGATAGAAGTAACGCCCTGGTCCTGCCTTCAAAAAAAGCAAAGAAGAAAAAAGTAGTGAGTGTTTCTCAAAAGCCAAAGAAGCCCCTAAGCAAGAAACAGAAGAAAAACCTGCAGAAGGTTTTAGAGCAGAAAGAAAAGAAAAAGCAGGTATGTTGCTTCCCGGTGGTGAAACTYGGCCTGTGTGGTTTCTTACAGAATGGTTGAGGTTGGAAGGGACCTCTAGAGATCAGCTAGTCCAATCCCCTGCTCCAGCAGGGACACCTACCATGATTCTGCCACAATTAAATAAATTGAATAATACCGGTGCGCAGAAGAAGCTGATGCTGATGGGCATGTGCTGAGGTGCAGCTCTGAGGATGTCTCTCGTAGGCTCCTGGCATGAACATGAGCTCTGAGGCATCTCCAGGACACATTCATGTCGAAGCTCATGAGTTTGTGTTACAGCAGCGTTAGCCAGTTATTTTCTGCRTGTTCTGGCAAAAGCATGAGGCCACCCATGGTGCCTTCAGCGTAACTTCCAGTGGGGAAATAAGATTCCCCTCTCCGTGACTGCACGTGGGGCTGCAGGAACTGACTGTTTCTGGGCCCAGTTTGTTCTGCCTTTGACCTTGGCAAGATGCTTAATTTCCCTGGATGTCATTTTCTTCTCTTTAAAGTAAGACTGAATCATAGGAAGAAGATTCATTGCTGCTGGTGCAGTGTGTTAATGATAAAGCTCGTGTATTGAGGAAAAATATGAGAAGTTCAGTCCATTACTGTTGTGGACACTGCGTACACAAAATACCTCACTAGCGAACCAAATAACCCCATATTTTAAAATGTAGTAGAATGTGTGTGAAGTGTGGCCCTGCTGCAAAATACTGCACTTAACGGAGTTTTAACTGTGTGCTGTTCCCAGTGCTTCTATTATATCTTTAAACCCTGAGAGCTATATTTGCTAGAGTTCATTTGTAAAGCTCAAGGGCYACTCTTAATATGGAACTATTTGCTCATGAAGTATAAATCCTGATTTTGGTTGTTTTTCCCACGTAGCGGGCTGAATTGCTGAACAAACTCCATGAAGTCCAGGCTTCTGAGGCAGAAATGAAGCTTCTGTTCACCACTTCCAAGTTGGGCGTTGGAGAGCGAATGTATCAGACCAAAAGGTAAAGGACTGCTGTGAAGGAGCCTCCAGGGTGAACTGCGGTGGTTTTGAAATGGACATTTTTTTCCCATGTTCTTAACTGCAGACATATTCTTCAAAATGCATTGATTTAAATATTTTCCACTTTTACGTGGTAATATCTTTAAAGTAACATGACCCTTCCTTTCATAAGGGTGTACAAGATGAATAACAATTGTGTATGCAAACGCTAATAATAGATTCTGCTAAGCTAGGCAATTAGTGGAATAAATATTTACTTTTTTTCCCCAAATTGGAAAATATTGACTGATGCAGTCTATAATTAACTAGATCTCCCAGAGTTTCACATGGACGGAGTTGGAATAAATTAAACTACAAATATGGGGCTTTAAGAAATGAATAGATATGGATATAGAGCATGCTTAGATAACAATACGGTTTACTTGTCCATTTCTTCCCTAGCAACRTGCTGGGTTTGTTTTGATTTTTGTAGTCACTGTACAGATCCTGCTCTTGCAACTCTCGTTTCTGGTAGAAGAGAACTTCTCTTTTTTAATTTAACAGGGAAGCAGTTACTATACTCAGCTCCTTGAATGAGTGATAGTATATTTGCAGAGAAGTCTACATCTGACCAAAGTTGGGGTCAGTGAATTGCAGGAGTGTTGGCTGGTTGATCCTCTGTAGGTTATCAGGTGCAGCCTTCTGCTTCAATCGTGGTTACTGCAAACACGAACAGCTTATCCGATTGGATAAAAGCCAGATTTAGGCTCAGGTGGTGACTTTTACTGATTTGGCTTACCTTTTTTTTTTTTGAGTGTAAGAAGTGTCTGGCCTGAGGTCCTGAAGACTGTTGAACAAAAATGTGTTGATGTTTTGTTCTAGGATGGTGCAAGAGCCAGGGGCTGTTGTCCCTGAGAAGATCAGGAGCATCAGTGGGGCAAATAAGAGAAGGCACAGCTCAGATTCAGAATCAGAGCCCGAGGAAGAATCAAGTAGCTCTGAAGAGGAGAAGGAAGAGCAGAAAGAGGAAATTGAGAAGGTTTCAGGCAGTGGTTCGAATGCAGCTGAAAGGCCAGAGGAAGGCGTTGAGGAGACAGCACCTCCTCAGCAGGCTGTTCCTAGTGCAACTCCTCAGCAGGGTGYACCTAGTGCAAGGGTTTGTCAGACAGCGTCAAACAAACCACCTTGCAAGCCCGCAGTTTTCGTCCCTGTGGACAGGGCTCCTGAGATTCAGGTGAGGCTCTGTTAACAGTAAAATGCCTATCAAGGGGGATGGAAATCACAGTATCTTCTGTCTAATTAATTCACCGCAGACACTACAGCATTATCTTGCATCCATTACCAGTACTCCTGACACCACACTAATGTGCGTTTATGGTGCTGGCCCTGGCAAATTGTGCCTGCGCAAGTGTGAGCTTTAAGCCTGTGCAGAAAGAAAGTTGGTTTTGCTTTATGTCATAAGTATTTAGCTTCAGTTATATAATCAATTAGCTGTTTTTCACCATTTTTCACTGGAAGTCTTCAGAAGCTGCTTTTGATTCTCTGTTACACTGTATTAGGGAAGCTTTTTTCCGTTTGATGTAGACGGAGTATTATTTAGAAAGAGGAAAATCTCTGCTCGTGTTTGAACAAACGAGGCAGAGTTTTGAAATAGGTTTTTGTTTGAAGTACCTTGTTAATAGACTCATGAAACTCTGGAGTTTCAAAAATGAAAGTGTAGACCTTGACAGGTGCTTCCTGACAAGTTGTTTTCCTGCGTCTCTTTCTTGAACATGGCAGTGCGATGTTACCTGTTTTAGACATTTTGAAGCCATAGAACTTCCAGGATTCCTGTTCAGAGTTTTTATAAACTAAGGCCAATTTCAGTCTCGGTGAAAAGTGGAAAAGAAGTGTAGACAAAACAGGGCAAGTAAAATGTGTCCTTTATTTAGGAAGCAAGACTGAAGCTTCCAATTCTTGCTGAAGAGCAATCTATCATGGAAGCCATTAATGAGAATCCCATTGTTGTCATATGTGGAGAAACAGGAAGCGGGAAAACCACGCAAGTACCTCAGTTTCTGTATGAAGCTGGCTATACCAGGTAAGAGTCTTCCCTTATGCACAGTAAATGTGATTATGAAAACTCAAGCTAGCTCAGCCACTTATGATTTTATTCTGAAGCAAGTGAACCGAAGTTGCTTTTCTCTATGTAG